ATCCGGCCCCATAGACTTGTGAGCGTCAAATGTGAGCCCTGAATTGCCTGTGTACTTTATCTACACTCAGTGGGGAGTTAGACAGCCTCAGAGTCTCTTATTCTAAGCTGTTAGAGGCAGGGAATTGCAATAACAAATTGAAATACATACGAATACAGTCAAGCTTGTTCCAGATCAGGCTGAGGTCGCTGGCAGAGCATAACTAACCCTGGGTAGTGTGAAGTTCCCTCTACTGGATTTAAAGCTATAAACTGTTTGCAGTCATTTGTGCAGCACTTCTCAGTTGCCAGAAGGTAGCTCATTTAATCTGCAGAAATGTAAACAGGAAAACACTCAGCTATTTGGGCAAAGACAAAGGATAAACAAAGAGAGCCAAAGCAAGAAAAAGAATGAATGCAAGGCCAGCAGCTTCTTTATCCTGCTTCCCCTCTTCCCTCTTTCAGATAACAAAGATGTGTCAGTAATGATGAGCGAGATGGATGTCAATGCGATTGCAGGCACCTTGAAACTGTACTTCCGGGAACTGCCTGAACCCCTCTTTACAGATGAACTGTACCCCAACTTTGCTGAGGGCATTGGTAAGTAGAAGCAGAAATAACCCTTGATAACTGGGTCTGTGTTAAAGACACTTTTCTGTAGGAGGCTGCTCCTAAAGCAATACAAAAACCGTATTTATAATGTTAGACAGAAGCCTGGAACAAGCTGTTAGGGAAGTGAAATGGAGCTCAGAAATGAGCGTTGGAATGACATATGAGCTTGAATATGGGCAATTGCCATGCCTTTTTATAAGTCAAAAATGTCCAGGTTTCTGAAGGATAGGTTAAGAATAGAATGACAGCCTACTTGTTGAGACTGTGCTTGCTGTTTGCCCCATTCAGTCTTCCAGGGAAGCCCTCTTTGCAGGGGTGGTATACCTTGTCTTATCTTGATGTAGGGGAAAAACATCATAATGGTTGAAAAGCCTGAAAGCATTTGAACTGCTTGAGAGAAAAGGATTCTCTACATATCTATGAAATAAAGGAAAGAGATCCTGTGGGGTATTGATGTGCAACTCTGACCTTCCAACCTATGATGTAATTACAGTCCATTCAGGACCATTCATATTTGTTGGTTTGGGAAATAACACAATCAGTCAAATTCTCGTTCACTGCCTATGGTGATGATTTGTTATTTTCTGTCTTGTAGCACTTTCAGATCCTGTTGCAAAGGAAAGCTGTATGTTGAATCTATTGTTATCGCTTCCAGAACCCAATCTTGTGACATTCCTTTTCCTTTTGGACCATTTAAAAAGGTAATATGTGGATCCTTTAGACACGTATTTAATGTGTAAAGCATCATTATTTTGAAAAGAGGAGCCTTTTCCTTGAATTTGTGCTGAATCGCACAAATGAAGAAGCATTTGCTGATTTGCTGTGAATGCTCATCAGATAACTATTGTGTCATACTCACTTAGTGAGGCACTAAATCCTGAATTCCATTCCCACTTATACTGAAAGGATTCGAACTGGAGGAAAGGGGTAACAAAAGTCTCAGGGCTTATCTAGTGTAAATGCAAATT